CCCAAAATCAATCCCAGCATTCCCTTTGTGATATGGAACCTTGTGGTACAATGTCAGAGAGATCCATACATTTACACACAAGTTATGTCTGGAAGTTACAAAAATGCTTATTTTTGGCCCCTTTTGGCCCCTAATTCCTTAACTGTTAGTACCATAACCCCCAAAATCAATCCCCACCTTCCTTTTGTGGTATTGAACCTTATGGTAAAATTTCATTGAGATCCATTCACCCAAACTAAAGTTAGAGTGCGAAAACTAATGTGTATTCGGACGACGACGCCGGACGACGACGACGCCGGACGACGACGACGACGACGACGACGACGACGACGACGACGCCAACGTCATACCAATATACGACCACAAAAATTTTTTTGCGGTCGTATAAAAAGGAAATGTGTTCCAAAGTTGCAGAAAAAATTTATTTCAATTAAATTTAAATAACTTTTGTCAAAATTAAAGACATGGCATACAAGAAGAACTTTAATAAGGTTTAATTACCTCAGTACATGTGTGTTTTACAGGTAAAAAGAAAGCCCATTTTTCTTAAACTCGTGTATTACTTATCTAGTGAATTCAAAAGGCCTTGCGATTTAAGTTTTACAGGATGTTGCAATTTTTACTGAATGTTAATTAGAAATTAATTCACTCTGACCAGGTGTGATCTTTTTAATGAGTTTGCCCCAAGCAGGAGGTATTACTTTATACTTTACCACTATTCAGATTTTTATTTTTATTTATTTATTTTACTTTTTTATCCCTTTTTGATATATATTATATATAATATATCCCAAATTATAATAAGAATAGATATATTTCTAATATAAGGTTAAACAATTTCAGTGATTTTTTGGCTGTTGTTAACTCATTAAAAAGATAATTATATAACTATTGTATGTAACCATAAAACCTATGTAGTTTTTCTTTAGGAATTTAGGAAAATTAAGTTTAAAAAAATAAAAAAACACATGCCAACCAAGAAGCACCTTTATAAGGTTTTATTACCCTCAGTAAAGGTGTGGTTTTTAGGTAAAAGAATTTTTTTTTTTAACAAAACTAAAACTTAAAATTTATATAATTAAATTATTATATAAGATAATTTGATTTAACTATCTCTATTTGATATATCTGAGAATCATGTAAGGATGTAAAAATATGTTTTTATATATATCTTTATTTTATTGTGGCTGTTATCATGTCAGAAAAAAAGAAATTAATTTTAACAGCTAAAAAAAAAGTAGAGGTTTTTTGGTCAAGTATGGTTCAGACTGGTCGAGTATTGTTCAGACCTTTGGTCGAGTATGGTTTAGACTGAAAAAATAGGTCAAGTACAGGTCGAGAATGAGTTAAGACTGTTTCAGACTGGTCGAGTAATAGTTCAGACTATTTTCAATGGCAAAGATAAGGGTCAAGTACAAATCAGTACAGTCGAGTATGGTTAAGACTGGGGTCGAGTAATGTCGAGTAAAATTCAGACCAATTCAGACTGGTCGAGTAAAAATCAGTACAGTCGAGTACAGATATAGGCCATTTCAGACATTTACTGGTTTGTAGTGATGGTAACAGTGATGCTACCCAAATTAAAACCTGGTCTGTGTTTTGTGGTAGTTAGCGTTGTGTATAAGTATCATAACATTTGGTTGAGGCAAACTAAAGTTACAGAACAGAAACCAATTTTGGGACGGACGGACATACAGACGGACAAACTTAATGCCCCCTCCGCTACGGCGAGGTCATACAAATTAAAACAGACTTTGCAAATGTTATATGAGGGTTGCTTATTGATATTGATAAATCAATATGTGATATTGAAGATGAATAATTGTAGAATGCACAGGGTTATTTCATAATTTTATTATTAAGATGCTATTCTTGTGTCTCGTATTATTCAAACTGATAAGAACAAAATTCACAAAATCAAATGTATTGATTTATGTGTATACATGTCATGTTGCCAATTGAGTTTCCTTAACTGTAACAATGAATATTTTTATTCGTTTTCTTATATTAGTCTCAGGTAAGTATAAATGTATCACAAAATATTTTATTTTATGATTTAAAAGCACGTCATCGATTCAGTTGGTACGATAAATATTCAAATAGGTATCTGTTATTCTTTTTTCATCAGTTAGAAATAGAAATAAATTTAACAAAAACACTCGCCGTTACTGACAGCTAGTTCAAAGCCAATAACAACTAATAAAATAAGTCATGCATATCATTTCTTCACAAAAACGAGATAAATTAAAAACAGATATCAAGAATCGCCTGTCAAGATTACTTGACCCGTATGATATAAATGAAAATAACTTCAGTTCTTTTGATCAGGATAAAAAAAAACATGTGAAGCAAAGACGGAAAGGGTAGAGCTTAACGAAGTGAATAGCTTATGACCACATATATGAGACTGTTTTATGGCCATAAAAATTCAAAATAAATTTACTCAAAAATAAAAATGAACCAATCAAACTCGAATTTTTCTAACATGCTCTGAACAAGAACTTTTTACAAACACAAAGAAAATGTTTTACGACAGAGAGATCAATCATTGCATACATTTAAACAAAAACAATCAAACAAAAAAAACCATGAGAGACTACAGTTTTTGCAAGCAGGACTCCCTTGAAAAACAAATAGTGATATATGTTGCTCCTGTGCATTAGCATATCCTACCCTGCATGAAGGAAACTTTATTAAATGTAAACAAATAATTTGTACCATTGTGTACAATCCATCAGACTAAGCGAAACTCACATTAATTGCAACATTTAAGAATTAAACATTTTTTTATTCAATTTTATGCATGGTGGGTATATTTGCCCTAACCAAGGGGGCTGGGCAGGGTCTCAAAATGGTCGACTGAGATGTAGTGATAGTGATGCAACTTTACAGAAGATAGTATTGATCTATTACAAATATCAAACTGACTAAAGCAGGAAAATTAATGTCGAAAATTTCTTACATATATAAAGTCACTGGACCATGACCTAGGAGACAGGGTCTCAAAATAGTCATCAAACTGATATGTACTGATAGATATGCAACTTTATAGAAAATATTTTTGATCTATTACAATTAGTTACTATCAAGTTAACTTAAGCAGAAAACTAAACATTGAAAACTGATAATTAATTCAAAGTCCCTGGACCATGATCTAGGGGCCACGGCCCGTATGCATAAAGCTACTTAAGTTAAGATTTGTTCCGAACGGACGGCTTTTTCTTCATGTCCTACGATAAATTAATATTACAATTGGATATCTTAACTTAAGTAGCTTTATGCATACGGGCCCAGAGCCTGAAAATAGTCATCAAACTGATATGTACTGACAGTAATGCAACTTTATAGAAAATAAAATTGATCTACCACAAGTAGTTCCTACCAAATTGACTTTGGCAAAAAAAAAATAGAAATTGTTGACGCCAACGAAGAAGCACATTGCGGGAAAAGCAACAACTATGTCTCACCTTCCGCTTTCGTTGCAATCAAGACAAAATCCATAACACTGACCATTGAACCATGAAAATGGGGTTGATATCAGATAAAACGTGCCAGATAAACACGTTCACCTTTCAATCATTCAATACAATGAGCATGTTGACTTACTGCTTATAGATCTGAGATATGGACTTGACCATGTAGACCTTGCAAGGATCCCATAAACCAAACATAGTTATCCTATTATTCTAAGTGAGAAATTCAAGACAATAAAACTAAACAGCTGTTTATGCAATACACTAGCCGTGAATATGAGGTTTAGGACATTGGACATAAGCCAATTTGAAACTTTACAACATAAGGCATCTGTAAACAAAGCTCAAAGGGGCATTAGCTGTCAAATTCATGCTCACCAATTTGACTCAAATTCTCATATCTGATTAAGAACATACTAAAATGTATATCCAAATTACAATAAGTCTGAAATAAACAGTTAACAATGCATGTACTCGATAAAATATATCAGAATTTCATGTGTATTTTAGTCTAGACGCCATCTAATTAACTATCAAGATGACCTCTGAAGACTTCCGACGGTCATTAAACCTGATTTAAACATAATTATAAATATAAATAGATACCGAAATCATGCAATTTGATTTTTCTAGGTCTGTTTGATTTCATTTTATAGGTAGATCTTTATCTAAGGCAGAAAGAAACTGGTCTATTTCAGATCTAGAATGCTTAGCTGTTTTAGAAGCAATTCTAGAATACAGATCATATTTAACTGTGGAATTCACAGTTTTTACTGATCATAAAGCTTTGCAGTATTTAATGCAACAAAAACGCGTAACTGGACTGTTAGCTAGATGGTCTTTAGAACTCCAAGAGTTCAATTTTAAAATTGTGCACACACCTGGTAGGCAAAATGTAGTAGTAGATGCTCTAAGCCTAAAGAACTATGACAATGCAGAAATAAATGCATGTGTAATAGAAAATGAATGTGTAGAAGTGCAGTTCATTTATGATAACACTCCAGTCATTTTCTCCATCGAAACAAATCAGGTAGATGAAACTTTAAACGATTTGCCAGCCATCGTTAAATTACAAAAAGAATGTTCAGATATAAAAGATATATATTTATATAAAACACAAACTCAGTTACCCGAAGATGACAAAAAGAAAAAGAAAAGTGATAGCTACATCTGAATATTATGATTTATGTAATGAGGTATTGTACCATTGGTTTCAGAAAAGGTTAAGAAAATTAAGAAATAAGTTCATAATCGTTTTTCCCTGGATAAGAATGATTTTTTTGTGGATCAAATCAGTCAACGAAATGGTTCACTTTTGTTTAACTTTCAATGTTGACATTTTTTCCTTTTAACGGCTGAACACGGCTATTACATGCGCAACCGATCTCTATCTCATGGGTTAAATTGAAGGTCACATGAATACAGATTAAATGAGGTCCAATTATTCACTTTCAAGTGAACAATTCATTACCGATGTTTCTTTGCTTATTTTGATAAATTTGAACCAAATTGGCTGCTCAAAGCGAATTATTATTTCACATTTATTAATGATTGAAACAAACAAAATTATATTCTATTTTTTTTCATATCTCGTAGATAATACCCCTTTAAGTATAAAACATCTATGTCTTCTAACCTGAAGAAATATACAGAAGCCAATAATTTAAATATTAACACATGATATTAATGACAACAAGTGTTTTTACAGATTTAGATTTTCTCCATTTAACACAGATCTTAAAAGTACTACTTTTCTTTAATCAATTTACTGACCTTTTTGTATTTGTTATTTCAAGTATTAAACAAAGAACTTTTTACATTAAAATAAAAGGTGTGATAAAGCCAGGCTTAGCCCGTAAAATTAAAAAAACAAAAAGTCTTGAAGATACAGTGAAACCTACCTTAACTGAATCTTGCATTAACAAAAAAACCTGTCTAAACCGAATCTTGAAGTAACCAAAAACCTGTCTAAACCAAACCAAACGTGTTCAATCATATTAAATTTTATGTATTGTGAACCTGATCAAACCAAACATCTGCCAAAACAGAACACATTCTGAATTTCTCAAGAAGTTTAATATAGACAGGTTTCACTGTATATCAAAAAACATTCTTCAGATGTTAACAAGACTTAATTAACAGCCCTTTCCATACATCCTCCTTTGTTTAAAAATGCACGTAAAAGTACTGTAAACTCAAATATGTTTACAATGTTTTTCATTATTGTGAAAATGGTGACAGAAAAGATGCCTCAAAAGTAAAAAAACTTAAATTTGATGGCATTATTTTTTGTATACAGTATTTCCTGCATTCACAATAAAGCATCTAGCATTTTTGTACATTGTTCCAAAATTGCAAACATAAATACATGCACAAATTTTCCTAAATTTACAGTATGCAAAAAATATATATACTGATATATAAACGAGGACTATGCTTTAGAAAATGTTTATGACTTTGTCAACTTTACAGCATCTGCACAGCAGCTCAGCCTTAATAAAGCAGTAACCAGTTCTTTTCTATCTTCTGCTTTAAGAATGTCATACATCTTAGTACAATATATGGTACCACTGTCTGTTTCATTCAATACTTTCTCCATGTGAAGGAGGTAATTACGGCTGAGTTTCAGACAGGTCATCATCACCTAATAAAAATAAAACACTAATATATATATAACATACAATACTGGTCAAGGATCTGTTACCATCAGTTACTAGTTGCTCTCACCTGTAATTTTATTCAATACCAGAAGTGTTGTAAAGAAACAACAGACTGCTGATATCTTCAGACAAATATGTTTACTTCATTTGTAAATACTCAGTTTTCTTTATTCCTATTAAGATAGGGAAAGGCGAATTTTTCGGTAAATTGAACGTGCCACGAGAAAACAATTGTGTGGGGACATGAGGTCATTGCATTATGACGTCCTCAATTTAAGAAAACTTACCATTTCTACCATTATCTAACCTCCCTTTAGCATATTTAATTTCTTACAAAAGAAATTAAAAGCTTTGTAATTTCAAAATAAAAGTCTATACATCTTATGTACAATGTAAGAGGTTAATTTCAAATACATAGACCCAGAAGGAGACCTTCAAAATAAATGGTCAGAACAGCTATGTGTTTGGTTCAATTGACATACTTTCTTGTATTCCTTCTTTTCAAAAAGAATCACATTAGTGTCCAGATTAAATGTTAATTATATCACAGTATGGCAAGATTTAAAATTGACTGTAACTGGTCATAGTACCTATAAAATTTCCCTCAAAAAATGCAAAATTGGCTTACTAGTAACCCCTTTTTTCATTGCTCATAAGAGAAAGTCAAGGTCTTTGTTGCTTAAAGTAACTTTTGGTAACCCTTTTTATGTTTAAAAAATATTTCCCCAAAGTGTTCAGGATGAAATTTATTTCAGAAAAACTGTGAATTTCTGATGGTAACTGGTCCTCCACCAGTATAATATTGCATGTTGTTATAATAAAAAATCTATCGATACTTAAAGTTTTTGATTATTTAATTATAATATTCATTGATTGGTAATAAATTAACATGTGATTTAAGTAAAACTATAAAAAAAAGTATCAAAAAACTTTTTGACATTTCTTGTGGAGGATGTAAGAATCCTTTAAGCCAGGGTAACACATTCACGATTTTTACAGACGTCATTGACAGGACGATTCCCGATAAAAACTTGTCAAAAGTCTGATAAAGATCCTGTGAATCATGGCTGGAAATTCAAACTTAAATTAAAATTTGTAAAAACAATAATTTAATCACGAAAACAATCAGATATTGTACAGGAAGTGTCCTAATTCAGCCGTTTCAAGCCGAATTTGTTCCAATTATCCTATTTTCAATCCGATTCAAATCCGATTTGTATCTTTCGCATAGTTGAAAACAACCGAATCTGTCCCAACAGCGTCCCGATTCTACTAAATGTGATCCAACAGAGCGCATAATAAACAAAGGACACAGATGGATTCATGACAAAATTGTGTTTTAGTGATGGTGATGTGTTTGTAGATCTTACTTTACTGAACATTCTTGCTGCTAACAATTATCTCTATATATAATGAACTTGGCTCAGTAGTTACAATGGAAATTATTTTGTAAAAATTTACAAAAATTTACAAAATTTATGAAAATTGTAAAAAATTGACTATAAAGGGCAATAAATTAAATCCTTAAGAGGTCAATTGACAATTTTGGTCATGTTTGACTTATTTGTAGATCTTAATTTGCTGTACATTATTGCTGTTTACAGGTTATCTCTATCTATAATAATATTCAAGATAATAACCAAAAACTGCAAAATTTTCTTAAAATTACCAATTCAGGGGCATTTACTCAACAAGGTGTTGCCTGATTGGTCTGAAAATTTCAGGGCAGATAGATCTTGACCTAATGAACAATTTTACTTTTGTCAATTATGCTCTAAGGGAGCTACCATTTAATTTTTTATGGGGGGCTAGGATGAAAAATTTTGTCCTGCTTTTTTTTTTAGTTGTAATCTCTGTCCTGCCTATTTATTTTTCACTCTATTCGGTCCTGCTTTTTTTTTTTATTAGTTTATCCTGACTTTTTTTACATAAATTGTCATCCTGCCTTTTTTTTTTGCAAAGTTGCTCATCCTGCCTTTTTTTTTTACTCAAAACTCATGTCCTATCTTTTTTTTTTAATTCCCCCCCCCCCCCCCCCATAAAAATCAAATGGTAGCTCCCTAAATGCTTTGGTTTCAGAGATATGAGCCAAAAACTGCATTTTACCCTATGTACTATTTTTTAGCCATGTCGGCCATCTTGGTTCGCGGGCGGGGTCATCGGACACATTTTTTAAACAAGATACCCTAATGATGATTGTGGACAAGTTTGGTTAAAATTGTCTTAGTATTTTCAGAGGAGAAGATTTTTGTAAAAGATAACAAAAATTTACGAAAAATGGTTAAAAATTGACTATAAAGGGCAATAACTCCTTTAGAGGTCTACTGACCATTTTGGTCATGTTGACTTATTTGTAGATCTTACTTTGCTGAACATTATTGCTGTTTACAGTTTATCTTTATCTATAATAATATTCAAGATAATAACCGAAAACGGCAAAATTTCCTTAAAATTACCAATTCAGGGGCAGCAACTCAACAACGGGTTGTCCGATTCATCTGAAAATTTCAGGGAGGATAGATCTTGACCTTTTGAACAATTTTACCCCTGTCAGATTTGCTCTAAATGCTTTGGTTTCAAAGATATAAGCCAAAATCTACATTTTACCCCTATATTCTGTTTTTAGCCATGGCGGCCATCTTGGTGGTTGGCCGGGTTACCGGACACATTTTTAAAACTATATACCCCAATAATGATTGTGGCCAAGTTTGGTTAAATTTGGCCAAGTAGGAGAAGATTTTTGTAAAAGTTAACGGACGACGGACGACGGACGCCAAGTGATGAGAAAAGCTCACTTGGCCCTTTGGGTATTGCATTTACCATGTTTACATAATTATGTAGCTCCATAACAAGTAGGGGTGGGCTGGACATGTAAAATGATTATAATTATGATTGGACCTTAACAAATAGAAACAGAGAAGAAAGTTTTGATTAATCCAGGTTCTACTGTATGTAATAAGCGAGTGCATGTAAATGGTACCTTTGTTTCTGTAAACATTACTCCAATGCTGGCCTTTGAAAAAAGAAACAATGAATGTTTAGTTTCTAGTAACAGCTGTCCTGCATGTTTAGCTGAACCATTGATTTCATATGGCAGTAATGGTTCTTTAGTTATTGCATATGTTTCCCGTAAGTCTTTATCAACATATGAATTGTCACTTGTTGTTTCTGAAGATCTGGTTTCTTGCCTTTTTTTATGAATTTTGGAATGATTGTGTTTTTTAACCTGCAAAACATAAAATTATACAATACATGTTTTTAAATCAAACATATGTACTACAATTTCTCCTACCGATATTTGACAAACATTTGACTGTGAGTGAGGTATGCTTTTCAATTTTATTATTTTAAAATATATGTTAGACTTATTACTGGGATTTTACTAACATGAGCAACACAATGGGTGCCACACAAGGACATGAGATCTCTTCAGTTTTTGGTGGGGTTCATGTTGCTCAGTCTTTAGTTTTCTATGTTGTGTTTTGTGTACTAATGTTTGTCTGTTGGTCTTTTTCTTTTTTAGCCATGGCGTTGTCAGCTTATTTTTGACTAACTGATGAGTTTGAATGTCTCTCTGGTATCTTTCTCCCTCTTTTACATGAAAAACAAACTTTTATGTGGAGGATTGAGCGTTCACAAATATGTCTAACCCAGACACATTTTTTATGTGTCTGTCCAAAGTCAGGAGCCTGTAGTTCAGTGGTTGTTGTTCGTTCATATCTGTCATATTTTTTTCTTGAATTCTTTTGTTATAAATTAGGCTGTTAGTTTTCTCAATTGAATTGTTTCATATTTTTCATATCATGTGATAATCATGTCAAATTCTTTATATTTTATCATTTTCATCTGATCGAATTGCTATCCTAGGGATGATAATTTCATATCAAGTAGAGTGTGCAATCTAATTCTCATACAGCCTCCTTGGCTATACTTGCCTACTCCTTACCCTTATCCTAACCCTACCATTTTCAACTACCCTCAAACCTAAACCTAACATGTATCTAAATCAAAGGGACCCGTAACATTTAAAAAGCCAATTATAAACCATATCTTAAATAAATTACCTCCGCCACACATAATGTAGATGCCCCACTAAAATTCTCTAATTTGTGTGCCGTCTCAAATGGTGAATTGTCAATCTCAAAGACGAGGTCAGGTTTTGAATTCACTTCCTGGCCTTGAATCTTACTTCTTCTTTTCATATAAACATTACTGAAATAAAATAAAATTTGATGATTGGATTCTAAACAAAGAGTTCATACTGCAGGAGGGAAGGAATTTTATTATACATATACATTTATTTTTAATCACAAAATTTGAGCTTTTTACAAAGTTTTAATAACCCATCAAAAATTTTCACGGAAATCAATTTTTGACACCAAAAATAAATTTGGAGTAAAATGTTACATGTGCCTGTCAGGGATGGGGTAATCGTAATCTGTAAACGTAATCGATTATAATTGATTATATTTTTTTCAAGTAATCGACATTAATCTGTAATCGACAACATTTTCGATTACAGCAAAAATTATGATATAATCATCGATTACTTTTCGATTACATTTCGATTACTTTAGTCAAATATAAAATAGACAACTGCATGTATTCATCAGTTTATAGCACTGATAAAATAGAATGTATTAATATTATTTGAAAGTTTATCAAATACCTTATTTAGAACTGTTGTCTAAAGCTGCATAATGATTGACCAGATCTCCTAACAAATTTTACTATTTCCAGCTTTTGAAAAAAATTACTTTCAATACTTGTCAATAATTTAAGACCTTTTATATTAAACACAAAAATGTTGAAAATAAGAAAATAGATTCAAAATAGGAAAATACATGAAGTCCAAAGTTAAGTTCTGTACTACATTGAAGTAGTAAGCTTATTTGTAATACAATTCCTGAAAACATAATTTTCAATAAGAGCTAGAATTTAGCTTAGAAAAGATAAACTGTTGATTTGTCATAGTGTTATGATATCAAAATGAGGAAAGAATACAAAATCCTTTTGACAATGAACCAACGCATTGAAATTTTTGTTTGGTAATAGATACATGTATCCCATTTTGACCCTAAAATTTATATTGTTTATGATTTGAATAGAGAGCAAAGAATTCTCAACAACCTTCTTGTTTTTACTAATCAGATGATCACATACTTCTAATCAATGAGATACAGACTTTGTTTTTATTTCAATTATGTCTAATCAAGTGAGAGATTTAATACATTAAATTGGTTTATTTCCAATTGTCCCTTTTTTTTAAACTTTAGAGTTCTGATTGTCCCACATGAAAAGTTCTGATTGTCCCACATTATTTTATGAAGTAAAATGTTCTTAAATAAACAATGTATCTGTTGTTTGTTTTACTAAATAAACATAATTAATTATTGCACATTTAATATTAATTTTATAAAAATATAAAAACAAACAGTTTTTTAAATCATTAGATTAATGCACTTTTGATTAAAATATTATAAATCTTATTTATGAAATATAACTACAATGTTACGTTATCTATAAAACAAATGTCAATACCCTAATTTTAAAAACATTTTCTCTATAAAGATTTTAAACAAATGTAGAAATAATGCATGCAATTTAAAAAAAAGTTATAAACTCATTTACATTCTACAGTCTACACGAACTTGTTGATGGGGAGATGTTTCCACTAGTCTTTGCAATTTTACTAGGGAAGTCAGAGGACATTAATACAACATTCTCTGCACTATTGAAGACTGCTACAACCCAAAGTCAGATTCACCTGAACCTAACATATTTCTTTTTTGATAACGATTCTGCTGTCTAGAATTCTGGCAGATCAGCCTTTCGAATAATCACTATTAAAGGTTGTTTTTTTCCAATATTCCCAGTGTCTTTGCCATAAAGTGCAGACAACAGTACTCGTCACCAACTATACACTAAAGAAACCAGACTTCCATAAAAAATAAGAAGATGTGGTATTATTGCCAATGAGACAACTCTCTACAAGAGACAAATTGATACATAAATTAACAAGTATAGGTCACCATACTATCTTCAACTATGAGTAAAGCCCATACCACATAGTCAGCTTTAAAATGTCCCAAACAGAAATACATCTAACACAAGAGGCTCTCAAGAGCCTGAATCGCTCACCTGTATTTCAGAGGAGAAGATTTTTAAATGTTAGCAAACTTGATGAACAAATTGTGTAAAATTGTCTTTAAAGGGCAATAACTCCTTAAGTGGTCAATTGACAATTTTGATCATATTAACTTTTTTGTAGATCTTACTTTGCTGAACATTATTGCTGCTTACAGTTTATATATACAGACCTTCTAAAATTCAAACTGACCATTATTCCGTGCGTTCATCGTGTATCGTGCGTGTTGCGTGCGTGTATCGTGCGTGTATCGTGCGTGTACCAATCGTGCGCTCATCATTCATCGTTCCGTGTATTTTCCGTGTAACGTGCGTGCATCGTGTATTCTTAATCGTGTATGGTGCGTGTATCGTGCGTGTATCGTGCGTTCATCAATCATTCATTCTTAACCGTGTATCGTGCGTTCGTCAATCGTGTATGTAACTGTGTACCTCAGATAACGTGCATTTGTCAAACGTTCATCTCTAATCGGGTAACGTTCATTCATTGCGGTTTTTATATGATAGTCGGTTATAGAGCTCATCAAAGCTTATATTTTATCTCACGGTTAAAGTTTATATATATGTTCCGACTTTAAATAAAATTTACATTCATACTTACTTTCTTGTGAACACTTAATTAACTTCATCGTACATAACGTTCATACAGATTCATGAATTTTTGTGTAAAATTTATTTATCATCTGTAAACATTTCGTGGTTATTCAGTGAATCTTGGCTGGGACTGACACATTTTAATATAAGGATACATGTTCTACGTACAAACAATAACATGATGACATTTCTACGACAGAACAGTTAAAATTGGAATTTCTATTCAACTGAGCGAAATGGGCTTAAAAATATACTGTTGGCCAACTGTTATTTGTTAAAAAATATTCCGCCAATTAAAAACAACAGTGCTTTTGCAAAATTTAGATGTGGGGTAGCTCCACTAAAAATAGAAACTGGAAAGTATGAAAGAAAAGAAGTCCACGAGATGACATGTGTTGTAGCTCTACTATTGAAGATGAACTTCATGTCATTTTAAAATGCCCATTATATGTAGATTTAAGACAAATTATGATACATTAAGCTAAACATTTTAATGAACATTTTAACCTTTAATTATCAGATAGCGAAAAATTTATATTTTTATTTAATAACGGCAATGTTGCTGCTATAGTTGCCAAAAACATCAACAATATTTCATTGAAAAGAAACGGCATTTTATTTCCTAGTTCTCAAAGAAAAAATGTTTTATTTTCATATAGTACAGGTGGACACTGTCAATTTTAAATGTAAATGAGTAAATATATTGTGTCTTAAAAGTCTCTCATTATTCTTTTTAAGATTGGTACATACAATGCAAATGTTTTAATGTTTTATGTTTATTTCTGTGATTCTCATTTTATGTTTGTATGTGGTGAGACTATAATAAAATATTGAATCAGTATTAACATGATTAATGTTCAACTTGAGTCATTTCTCCAATGTTGTACAATGCAAGATTATAATTCTTCGCTTATTTGGCAAATTCATATTCTACTAAATATTCAAACATTTAAGTTTTGATAAATACCATTACAAATATAATTTTTGTCTTCGTTTCTGATGATCACGTGCAGGTAAGGTTATTCCATTGAGAAAATACAATATACAAGATTGTCGGGTAAATGTGGATTGCGGATTAAGATTTTAGATGTCAAACTTGAATTAACAAATTAAACTGAGGCGAATTTAACACGAATATGTATTTTCTCTTCAACAGTGTTTTTATTCTCTGTTCTTTATTTTCATTTAAAATAAGCTAAATATGTTTTGTGGAAAATTGAATACAAATAAACATATGTATTTGAAGGCATTTCTTTTTAATTAAACAAGTATAAGATCACGCAAATATATCCCGTATTCCTTAAGAAGGATTTTAAATTGAGGAACTTTTTAAACTCGAAATTGTGTTTACGAGTTTAAGATATTCTTTTATATTTAAATTTTTTGATAAAATAGTTAAATATATTGTATTATCATAACAAGTCTTTATTTAAATGGAATAAACATGGAACACTTTCACAGATTCACTTTTCATTGTGTTCATGGTTGCATATCAAGGACACCGTTTTTAATGTTTGTCTAATAGATTAATATCCGAAAAAATAATTCACAATAGTACTTTGTATTAAAGAATGACAGATTATTTTACCATGGGGGTATTTTTTGTTCCGTTACTGAGGACATTTTTTTGTCCTTTATGAATCCATATGACAAATTTGACTCCAATAAGGATAAATTTTATCTTATAGAAAAATCGGTAGTTTTTATCCGATAGATTTTGTGTTCATCTTTATCGGATATAAAAGATTGAAAAATACAAACAATTAATTGAAGTTTCGTATGCATCTATCACGATCCAGCAACTTTTGACTAGTATAAAGGGTTGCCTTGGTTTTATAGCTCAAAACGGTATTATTTGTTTTGCTTTACATTGGGTTAAATAATGAAATGTATGTTTCAGAAATTTACACAAGTTTGATTTCGGCTTTGACTCCCGGGGACACTGTCGTTTACAGTAAAAGACGAAAATCTACACATGTACGTTCTTATAAAAAAGAAGTTGTGGTATGATTGCCAATGTTCATCATTATATCATAATTATTGTACTCCCCCTAATAATGAATCTATAATATATGCCACTGGACGTTAAACGATCAACTATTAATTCATCCATCTTATCCTTTTAGTTTTGTGATAATTTGCATATCAAATACATGAAACAACAGGGGCGGATCCAGCCATTTTAAAAAGGGGGGTTCCCAACCCAGGGCAAAGGGGGGGGTTCCAACTATATGTCCCCATTCAAATGCATTGATCGTCCAAAAAAAGGGGGATTCCAACCCCCTGAACCCTCCCAAAACAACACTTTATAAATTTCATGCATCTATAACGCTTTTCTGGATTTACTTTCACTAGGAACGCTCAATGCTAAATATTTGAAAGCCATAGAATGTATAAAATAAATAGGATTGTAAATATGTATGACCAATAAAGGGCCTATACACATTCACAACATTCTGTGTATTTATGTG